TGAATATTTTATATATACTTTGTCTTAGCATTTACTTTTATACATTTCTATATTCCAATATTTTTAAATTCCATTTTCTATAACTGAGTACTTCTGTTGGAAATAAATTCCCCTTTTTTTATATCAAACCAATCAAGAAATAATTGAATAAGAGAGAAACAAGAATGGTCAGCTCTGAACCCATTGACATATGTCAAGTAGGTGTTGAGGAACATGTTTGAAGAGGAAGTTGAAATGAATCACCCTGGTATTATTTTCACACATCATGAAGAACTATGAACAACAACAAAGAACTCTAGAACAGCGAGGAGAGAAATGAGATGTGTTTCTCTTTGCTAGATATTCGATATTAATCCATTTCGTAATTTTGACAGTCACCATAAAAGAAGCTTCCAGGAAGATGTAGGGGCAATTTACTAGGAATGCCTATAGAATTTCGATCTCGAAAATGTCGAAAAACACCCAACCTGTAACTGGGCTAAAATATGGAAGGTCTCATTTTCAATTCTCAGTGCATCGATTATTCTTGAGAAAACAATCAGAAGCAAGGGCAGTTGCAAAAAATCAGAGGTGCTAGTGGACTGAATGGTATAAATCAACACGCCTGAGGAAGCTTCTGTATAGTGAAACACATGTTTGAGATTTTGTGAACCATTCAGTGAAAAGCTCCCATTTTTGCCACTTTTGTAACTTTTTAGCTGAATAACTCCGCAGACCGAGGAAATAAGGTTCTTTTGCCCATAAATTTCAGCGGTAGACAGAAAACAGAGTAATCACCACACAGTTCTGAATATTTTTCATGTTACTAAAATAGCAGTTGTTTTTGATGTATGTGAGATCTTAGTGAAAAATTATGGCCATTCATTCAAACAACATTTCTGGTAATTTCCTTCAGGTTCAGAAACACTGGTAATTCCCGTAAAGATCTATTCACGTTTAAAGATGTCGCTAACTTGGATATTTCCAATTCAATAATTGATTAAAGACTTTTTCACTGTTGCACTATATAAGTGATAATTTACAGAAACATTATTTTCATTATGTAAGATGTAGGGTTGTCCATCCAGTTTCCAGTCATTATTTGTGGCTATAATTTTTAAGCATTTGGTGTTCCGCGATGGTTTTTTTAACTCATTTTTGTAACTATTTCATATCACTAACTTTTTAGTTATACAGACTTTGTCCCATCACAATGAAGCATATGTTGTTTCTCTTAAGGCAACAGTACTCNGGACTTTTGGATAACCTATATGTGAAATGGTCAAATAAATCACTCTACTCTACATCTCCACCTTCGGAGTCGCCATCTATGGGATCGAGAGCTAACTCAATTCCCGAAAATCAAACATAAACGAGGCCCTCCGAAGCGATCAATTGCAATGACAAACTCCGACATCCATAACCGAACGAGATTCGTTTACTGTCTCCCAGTGCAGCTTTCACCACAAGGCAGCTAGATGAACTTATGATCCAACACCAGACAGCGCGGTTCCGAATCACCATCTACGAAAATGCCATCTATAGGATCGACAGAAGACTCAATCCGTGAATATCAAAGATGAACGTGGTTTCCCAAGACGATCAAATGTAAAGCCAAGCGCACAAGTTCATCATCCAATTGATAATGTAGATGTTATGTATTGAAATTTCTTTTTCGCGAATCAAAAGAGTATTTTTTAATACTACAATTCTTGGAAGTGATTTTCTGAAGAAGGAAATAGTGAAAATACTCCCCTCTGTATCATCTCTGAGTACTGTTCCAATGTGCAATCTGAACAACAAAATAATCATGAAACACTATAGATATTCTAGTCGATCCATACAAAAGCCAATGCCAGTAAATGCATATGCAGAAAGTTCAATATATTGGGTTCCATTGAACTTATATCAAATAACCACTCAATGAATTTATATCTACAACAAAAAGCCCTAGAAGATGATGAAAAATTGAGCTATCGTCCAAGATGCTACCCAATTCAAGCAGGTATATTGTTATAAATACAATCGAGGGGCTGGAAAAGGGCCTAAGAGGACTCAGTACTCTTCCAAATCCCAACAAAATCGACGATAGCATTGCTACAGGTGCTTTGAAGGTATACATGTGTCTAAAATATACCGCAGTGTACATGACAAGATGAGGGTCTGTCAATGGGATCGCCACCTTCAATAGTCATAGCCAACATATATATAGAGTGGTTTGAAACTCTGGCCATTAAAGGAGCCCACAAGAAATCCCGAGTCTGGTTAAGATACGTTAACGACACCTTCATTATATGGAACCATGGGAATACTGAACTAGATGCCTTCCTGAAACACATTAACAGCATAAGACCTTCCATCACTCTCACAATGGAGAAGGAAGTCCACAACAAATTGCCATTCTTAGACGTATTGAAGAAGAGGACCGTGGAGAACATCCGTATACCGAAAACACACTCACATGGAACAGTATCTGAACCACGAATTCAACCATCATCAATCGACTAAAGGAGGAATCATCAATACTCTATCAGACCGTGCTTTCGGGCACTTTAAAACGAAGGAAGGCCTGCAGAAGGAATTAGACTTCATCAAACATTATCTTCAACAGAATGGCTACTCCAAAGCGATGATGGAACAGACTTTGGCTGAAAAAAATTAGGAGCCTCGCAAGGAAGAGAAGCCGTCACAACCAATGCTTGCACTTTCCTACATCAGAGGATTATCGGACAGGATAAAAAGAATTGGGTCCAAGTACAACATATATCCATCAGTGAAAATAGCTGGAGATTATTGACACTCTCATCATTAACTAGTCGTAGATAATCAAAGCATTGAATATTACTGGAGTTTTATCCCAACAACAAATTCAATTGATTGATTTCATGAAGGAATGACTTCCCACAGCTTTTGTATGGTGTAACCTTCTTTGATCCTCTCAACAGCTAGACCCAGTTCAGGTGAGTAAACCGGAAGTTCATCCTTAGTGTGCCCCTCATCAGCCAAATATGCTGTAATGGTATTAGAGATTTCTCCTTTCAAATCTTCCAGGACTTCGTACTCTTCGGTCAAGTTATTATTGGACTCCACGTCATCTTTACCAGAATAACTTTGAAATTCAACTCCAAAAATGGGTTTCGTTGTATAAACCGTGTGGAGAGAAGTGAGTTCCTTGAATAGATTCTGAAGCTTTTCTTCCGGATCAACTTTGAACCCTAAAATGTATCCTCCGCTCATTTCTGAACTGGTGATTACGAGAGCAGTTCCAAACTTCGAATCTCTGATGCATATCTGGAAAATAAATGTATTCAGATTTGAAATTTGCATATCCAAATTTTATTTTGAATTCTGTATCATTATATGTATATTCTGTTACAAATTATATTATCTCACGTTCTGGACTACATATTGGGGAGTTAGCAACAGAGGCTTCTATTGTTGAACAATGAGCAACATTTGCAATGATTTTTCTATGAGAAAAATGTTCCCAGCTCGCCAATGAAAATATGCGTGTATATCATTCCCATCAAAACGTGATTACATAGGATTTTGATAACTATCTGGTATTCTGTAGAATTTTATGTATTATTTTGAATGTAGACATACATACAGGGTGACCAAAAGTTTCAGTAGAGCTCAAAGCTTTTTTCTGTCTATCTGATTGTTATCTTGATCCTTCACCATGATCTTATCAATCATTTGAAGGTTGAAGTCAGTTTATTTATCGTGAACACATACCGAAAAGATACGAATGCTCATGACCTTGACTAACTCTTAAGATGCCTCTGAAAGTCATACATACCCCTTGACTACTCGATGGAAGTTTTAGATTTGATCTTGATCTTTTATTTGTAACTCAAGGTCGGTGTTGTGCCCTTCTATGTGATCCTGACTTTGGCAATTATTTATAGTTCATTAAACATTCTGAAATGAAATTCATATTTTTGATCCCGGAAACCAGAATAGTGAAAATCAAGCATGGCTCCCATTATATACTAGTACAATTCTTCTATTTCATATCTTCTCGTGTTTGCAGACTAGATGGGCCACACATATACTTAGTTTCACTGGCTTAGTAGACATACTAGCTTACCCATTGAGATGGAATTAAAAATAGATCTAGGGGTGATTAAGAACATGACCAAAAGTCATATTTTTGCTATTATTGTTTCAGCATGAAAAAATATGTGTGTGAGAAAATATGGGTTTCAGTTGTTTGAAATGGGAATAACTGTCAAACCGCAATCAATTAAAAGGAGACCGTCCAGCCAGCAACTAATCGTAAATACTCTGTACTGATTCCTTCTCTTATAACTTGATACTCTTATATATTGAATATTTGACCTTCAGCCGTATTCCTTCCCGCTCCTTTCACTCTCGAAAGGAAAAATACGGTTTTCCATTTCAAAAACTTACTCTGAACATTAAATAATTTGCAAGATTATGATCACGATCAATTCCAAAGTTACTAGGAATAAATCTACTTCTGGTAGTTTGGGATTCAATAGTTCAATCATATCTGGACTTTTGGATAACCCTGTATAAGACACTCTATAATCTGTTCAAAATCTGTTTTTTCTTTAAACAACTGTTACCTCTTTAGGAACGACCACCCTCAAAATTCGAAATTTGTGCGAGTCGTGGATTAACTAGATATTACCTATTAACGTACTCCAGATTAGTGAGCCTAAGGATTGAGTAGGGAATGGGAAAAAATACCAGCGTGGTTTGAACAGAACTGGCTGGTATCTCAATCGCCATAAAAGAAATAATCAGGAAAGGACTTTTTGGCAAAAACATAACAATCTGCACTGATAGCAGGCAGCAAGCCCTATTAGCCTTGAACAGACGTGTTACCTGAGGGCTAGTACTAGAGTGCCACCAAGATTTTGCCAAAGCCTTGGAATATAATTACATTACCCTGAGGTGGGTTAAAGGGCACGACAGGAGTAAAGGTAATCGCATTGCCGACTCTTTAGCAAGGAATTGGCTGGACTGAAAATTCAAGAACCCAGTGGCATCTACGGCCTGATGACTTCGACAATTACGGAATTAGCCAAACGTCACACCCATGCTCAATCCCTAAAGATATTGGATGAAATCAAAGGATGCCAGGATCACCCTGGCCGATTCTGGGAAGCTGGCGCTGAAGAAATATCTGGTGATTACCAAGAAAAATCTACGATCAACAGTAGCATTTCTGACTGGCCACTGTCAATTAAGGAAACACCTCCACAATATGGGGCTAGTGGACATACCTCTATGCAGGATGTGTGAACAGGAAGATGTCAGGCATGTCCTATGCGAATGTTCGGAGTTATCGTAAATAAGAGAGTGTGTGATCAGCGAGTCTTGGCCTACACCTGCCGATATAAAGGAGATGTCTCCCAGATACCTGTCCACCTTCCTGAAAAGGGCAGGATGGACGATGACCTAGGAGGAAAACTCCTTGGGAGGATGTGCAATGAGTCACATGTGGCCTAAGTGCTGTGGGCCTACACTCACCCCCTCTACTCTACAGATACAGAATACAGATACCTTTTAACTTGCGATTCGTAGCACATCTGGAAAATGTGTCCTTTGCGACGCATCGTAGGAAAATTTTTATGAACTAAGACCACACTCATATAAATGGAGACTAGATCAAACTTGATGTTTGAATAATTGTTATTGTTGACTTCCCAATATATATAAAACCCCATTTCAAAGTAACTCACACTTTCTATTTGCAAGTAGGGCAAAGATATGTTGAATCCTTCATTCACGTCTGCGAACCAGACGAACCTTACATTGGATACCGTGAAGGTTCCCAAGCTGCCTTGATCACTGGACAAATTCCAGACTCCATGAAGAGTAGATACCACTTGTTCTTGGGAAAGAATCTTCAACTGCTTATTGTGAACTACACCACCTCTCAGCCTCAATTCTCTGTAGAGTAGTATACCATACGCATCCCAAAATAGTGATATTATAACCAGCTAACTGTTGCGTCTTTGCACGCTTTGAAGTCAGTTCACCACATACAGTCCACTCAGATGACATCCATTTTGATTCTGGTGAGAAATGATGGGGCCATGTTCCGTCCACTGTCACATATCAACGCATAAATACGAGTTTCTTATGGTAGAAAAGCTTCAAACAGTACTCAAAGCTAACCTAACCTAACAGTTAGGTTAGGTCCAAATTGAGTAGGTGTATTCGACCCTCCACCGCAGCCCGTAAGGGTTTATTGTTCACACTCGACCAAATAAACACAGCTTCGGCTCTGCCGCTGTCCCCAGCGGGGCAGGCACAAAGTATATGCTCTACTGTTTTATCATTTTCCAAACAGAGGCGACACACACTGTCTTACGGCAGTCCGAGTCTCTGCATATGATGATCCAAATGACAGAGTGACCTGTAAGAAGACCTGTTAGACATCGTAGTTCATCCCTACTGTAGTCCAACAACTGTCTGGTATCAAGCTTCGAAGGGTGAATAAACGCCTTGGAGTGAGCCAGTCCTGGAGATTTCGACCAGGAGTCTATAAATCTTCTTGCCATCCAGGTGTTCAATCTGTTTGGCAAAGCCTAAAGCGATGACAATGACAGGTCCGATGAATCTGCATGCAGCACCCTCCTCTGTAAGGGAGTCAGCAGCCTCATTGCCTTCCAGGCCAATATGGCCAGGAATCCAGACCAGAGAGAGAGACAATCTTTTACTTCTTCCTATAGAGGATAGTACTTTTTAGCAATTTGCTAGCAATTTAGACGTTGCTCGGTTGAAGCCAAAAGCTTTCAACGCCGCTTGACTGTCCGTTTTATTGACTTGTGTATGAGGTTGGATTCTTCCAATCTCTCCGCACACAATTCAATAGCGTAAATTTCCGCTTGAAATACAGTCACATTGGTTCCTAGGCAGGTAGATATCTTTGTCCTGGGTCTGTGACTTCAAACACCTGCACCAGAACCGGAAGGTGTTTTTGATCCATCTGTGAACCAACAACTATCTGCTCTTGATATTTCCTTCTTCCGGACGATCATGTCCTCTCTACTCGGGAACAGTACTTTATTAGGCAGTTCGTAGTTGACGGTTGAGGCATAAAGTCAGAGGCCATTCCCAGACTTCCAGTATCAACCAACAGTCTGTTGCACTCTGCGCCAAGTTGAATCTTGGCTTCAACAGTATTTTTCCACCAAAAAGCAATGCTTTATCAACAAACGAAACCATTTTTATCCATTTTCTTCAAACTAGCAAAAGTTGCTTCCCTCAAATTGTTCTATTCCACAATATAACAGTTCGACAGCTGGGAAATTTGTACATATGTTTTTTGAAGAGTAGGGTTAGTTAAAAATCATATGGATGTGATACTAGTCTCAATGTTAGCCTACGAACTTCTCACTACCCCTCATATCTTAGACTCGAATGCTGAACACAAATCCTAAAAACATATTTGGCATGTACTCCAATAAAATTGGAGTTTAATGAACAATGTTGAAAGGTATCCATAACTCACTTGTGAACTCCCATTACAGATGTAAAATGCCTGGTATTGCCTGGAATCAGATTTGTGAAAATGAATTCGTATCTCGTGCCGTTCGATATGGTCAATAATTGCAAAGCTTGGGTAGTACCTTTCAGTCTCTAAAATGAAAAAGGTCATGAATTGCAGGAAATTTACAGTTATATTTGTTCACTCACCGAGTTCACAATTTTAGTACTTGAAGAAAGAATGCAGTTGAATCCAATAGCTATAAAAGTAATAAATGTAGCAGAGTATAAAATGCATATAATCAATTATGAATTATTGGCATTTAGTGATACTGGGCTTTCAGAAAAGTAGATGGGAAATGGTTACTAGTAGCCCAAAAATAATTTTTTCATTTTATGTGTTTTAGTATTATTAATGGTATTATTTTATGTGCAGTAGCTTGAATAAAATATGTAAACATATCGATATTCATTTCGACTCTTTTGAAATTCTACGTATATGAATATTTTATATATACTTTGTCTTAGCATTTACTTTTATACATTTCTATATTCCAATATTTTTAAATTCAGAAACTGAGTCCAATTAACAAGAAAAAAGCCTTAATAATAATAGCCAAAGCAGGTTACGAAGAGCACCGTTGTTCAACTTGGCATTGTGCCACTTTATGACATTATGATATTCGTGCATATGAAACGAGATCCGCAAGTTTGTTGAACCTGTCCAGACATACATTATCAATTAGTTAGAGAAATTTACTGAACTTCCATTTGTATAATCATCTTAACTCGTCCCTGAAGTCACTAGGCCTAATAGACTAGACTAATAATAAAATTTTTCCCAACACTGTTTTTATTATATTGAGGAATATTTTGACGAAGCAGATAAGGTTTTTAACTTGCGACAGACCTCAGTAAATCATCCATCTATGGGATCGAGAGCGAACTCAATTCTCGAAAGTCAAACATAAACGAGGCCCTCCAAAGCGATCAATTGCAATGACAAACTCCGACATCCACAACCGAACGAGATTCGTTTATTGTCTACCAGTGCAGCTTTCACCACAAGGCAGCTAGATGAACGTATGATCCAACACCAGACAGCGCGGTTCCGAATCACCATCTACGAGAACGCCATTTATAGGATCGACAGAAGACTCAACCCGTGAATATCAAAGATGAACGTGGTTTCCCAAGGCGATCAAATGTAAAGCCAAGCGCACAAGTTCATCATCCAATTGATAGGAAAATGTCACAAAACAGTTCGTTGGTAGATGCTACGTATTGAAATTCCTTTTTCGCGAATCAGAAGAGTATTTTTAATACTTCAATTCTTGGAAGTGATTTTCTGAAGAATGAAATAGTGAAAATACTCCTCTCTGTATCATCATAGATACTCTGTCCCGTTATTCTATTT